TCTTGACTTTTATTCTGTTTGACTTTAAAACTCAGTATTAGGAAAGTTAATTCATCGTTCATCCAAAATGCTTTGCATAGACTCATTCTTAGTTCTAGCACATTCTGTGGCCTGAAATGTCCTTGCCTTCTTATCTATGGTTAGAGGCTCTTCAGTGTTCTAAGACACTGAGCTGGATCACTTTAGCCCTTAGCAATCCCTTATTACTTCAAAATTCTCTGCTAAAATTGCCTTGCTTTCATCTCATGATCATGGTATTTCCCTAGCTAGGTAAGTATCCCATCTCATTCAACTTTCTTTCATTTATTCCTGTTTGTTCATTCATTCTACAAAGAGCATTTATATTATCACCTAAGATTGAAATGTCTTCCTTTGTGATTAATTGCAATGAACAGAAACTCACTCAAGCTAGTTCCCAGAACAGGAGTTGCATTGAAAAAGCACCCTGTGACATCTTCTGTCATTGAGCCACATATTCCTAGAGCCTGACTCTCAGCCATTGCTCAGCCTGGACATGCCCTGCTAGAGGAGGGAGATGCAGTTCTACCCCAGGGCTCCTGCAGGCCACAGATGTAGCAACTGTGAGCTTCAGGATATCAGTTCCCTTGAAAGCTCCTTCAAGATGAAGACTTGGTGAGGTTCAACTCCATTTCGTACTTGCCACTATGTTGATTTATAGGAAAGGTTCAATAATAACTGATGAATCTTTGACAACAGAAAATGTTCTTGACATACGCGGATAAAAGGATTAAAGACACTATGTGGCTTAAACTTTTAAAGTTAAGAAGACAAAAACTTTTAAGAGCTTCCTGTTTGCATTAATAATGATTTAATGTTGGGTCAAATTTGAATTACCAGGCTGCACTGTGCATACCGATTCAGTGGTTGGGATTGTAAGATTCTAATTGAATGTCATTCTAACAAAATTAGTTGTTATTGCTAGTCTATTTTTCAGCTTCTTTTTGCTGCTACTTTAAAAACACACAAAATGAAAATGAAAGAATGAAAATCCTTTCCTGCTGACATATAGCAACTGGCATTAGGACTTCCCATGCCACCAAGCCACTTCAGAATTCTAATGGAGCAAGCTGTGATGACTATTTGACATGACTGGGTGACAAGTGCCACAACTGACTGTCACATCTCACCCATATTTACCTTGTGGGCATAAATAACTTTGTGAATAACACCTGTCCCATTTTGCCTCTTTTGACTTTGGAATACTCATTCACATGGTAGACACTCAAAAATCTTGATCATTATGGAGGATGTTACTATGAAAGGGGACTGTATTCCGCTGCTTGGAGAGATGTCCAGGAATACATTAATGCAAAAACATCCTCAGTTTGAATTACATTGAATGGAGCTGAGATAAACATCTCAAAAACAGTTTTGAGGGCTGGGGATTTAGCTCAGTGGCTTCAGCACCTGTCTCAAGCACAAGGGCCCAAATTTGATCCCAGGTACCAAAATGAACAAACAAACAAAAAACCCTACAAAAACCAGTTTTGGGCATGGTATCCTTTTGCAGTTGTTGCTTTGGGATAGGTTTGCAACTTGTTTAATACTATGAGATTAAAGTGGTTGGACAGCAAGTGGATCAGTTGCTAAACTTTGGAGAATTTGTCGTTTGTTGCAGGAAGGTTAGAGATTACTAATATTGGAGGTGAGTAGTAGGTACTTCACCCATACAGGTAGAGTCAGTCTATACTGGGGTGAATGCCCTTCACTCCACCACTGCTCCATGACACTGATGACACTACAGAGACACACATAGAAATCTATCTTTTTTTTTTTTCCTCAAAAACAATGTTTATTTTAACACATAAAATGTGGTCACCTAGCGCCAAATGCCTGTAAATACCACGATCCCATCTGGTTTAGAAATCTATCTTGTCACTCATCATTCTGAGTAAGAGTACTTTTGACAGTGTCAATGAATAAAGCAAATGCATTTATTACATTGATTCAAATATTGGGTGCCTATTCTTTGTCAGGCACAACTATAGCAGAAGTGTCCCTCATGCAATAGCTGATTGTATGTACCTAACACATAATTGACTTTATTTTTTGTACTGGCCAATCTAAAGTGGGAAAGAATAAAAGAAATGTATCTAAAACTTCTCTCTCAATTCTTGATTCCTTAACATGTATCATATTTGGTCCTAATTCAGTCGAGTGGTTAAAAAGATAGCATTTTATTTATTTATTTATTTATTTATTTATTTTTCTGTTAAGTTTATTGGTACATTTAAAGCAAACAATACAGTTACATATATCATTGGGATCTTGTACCTTTACGTGATATGTCTTGGTTCTTATTTTTTCCCCATACCCCTGCCCTCCCTTCCCCTCCTTCATCCTTCCCTGTTTACAAAGACTTTGTTTCCATTTTTTCCTTTTTTCAGATTTTTTTCTTTTCCCTTATTTCCTTTCCCCACCCCTTCCCCCACTTCCCTGTAGTCATTTTCTTCCTGTTTCACACTATCAGTTACACCATTTGAACCTTTTTCACACCAGATAAACTTCAGTATTTTCTCAAGTGTGTCCTACTTATTTCACTTAAGAGTATAGCCTTAATGTGCATGCATTTAGCTATAAATGTCTCATTTCTCATTCTTTATGGCTGAGTAGGACTCCATTTTATAGGAAAACCACATCTTCTTTATCCAGTCTCCAGCTGATGGGCATTTGGGTTGTTTCCAAGTTTTATCTATTACAAACTGTGCCGTTATAAACATGGATGCACATATATCATTGTGGTATGAAACTTTTAATTCTTTTGGAAAGAAACCCAGCAGAGGGATGGCTGGGTCAGATGGAACCTAGTTCTTTGAGATGTCTCCATATTGATTTCCAAAAACAAAGATGACATTTTAAAAGTGAGATGGCTTTGGGGTTCTTCCTCAGCTCTGCCATATGACTTTGAGTAAATAAAGTCTGAGCATTGGTTTCTTTGGCTGTAAAATGGAGAATTAACCTCATTGAGTAGGTGCAAGAATAAGAAATAATACTCTGTGCTTCATGTGTTACCCCACCCATCAAAAGCACTAAATAAATAGTTATTTTTCAATGCTTGTTGTATTGAGCATCTACTATCTGCAAGTCAGTGTGGTCTGTTCTGAAATAACAGTTCAAATAGGCCTAGTCTAATCTGAAGCAGCCTTTAAGCTAGCTAAGAAGATAACTACATCTAAATAATTATTATACCCCTTGTTTATCTGAGGATTTCTTTTGTACTTCATTGTCACTGAAGCCTTTTCATTGGAAAATGTTCCTGAAACTTTGCTTAAATCATTGAGAGTCTAAAATGATAGGTCTTCTTAGGAGGAAGCTGGAAGCAGCAGTGTGAGAAGGCAACCTAAGCCTCTCTTTAAAGATCTCAGACTCTTCTTCTGCGGCCTCACCCTACCCAGGCCAAGTGGAAGACATCCTGTAATGGACCCCCACTTTCCTGGGGTCAGGTTTCTTGGAAGTAGGCTGATCCCTAAATTGCCTCACGGCCAAAGGAACACCAAGGTCATGGAATCTGAAAATCATGACAGTTCCGGGAAAGCTGGCCTCCCTGCTTAGGGGTCCTGTCTTGATCTGTGATCATTGTGTCCAGAGATACAGCCATCCCAGACATGAGGGAATGACATTAGGGTAAGAAGAGGACAGGAGGATGCAGCCAGACTTTGTAAATCCTTTGATTTATGAATCTGTAGGTTAGAGTGGGATTTTAAAAAGCATTATTAGTTTTTAAGAACAAAAATTTAATAAAAACAAAGTAGACTGTTCAATTTAAGTATTCAATATAATACAAAATTAATGAGAAGTTTTAGAAATCCCTCTTAAACATTCATAATTGCTGTGCTTGTCACACAGACAGTGCTTAGCACACAGTAGGCATTCAGTGAAGACTTGGAATCAATTTATTCTTCAGAATTAATTGTTTTTTTTTTTTTGTACTTGGGATGAACTCAGGGATTTCATGCTGGCCTAAGTTTCTAGCCCTTTTTTATTTTGAGACAGAGTCTCTCTGATTCTCTTAATTTTCCTAGGCTGAACTTGCAATCCTCCTGCCTCAGTTTCCCAGTGTTCTGGGATTAACTGCCACTACAGTGGCTCAGAAGTAATGTTGAAGGCAGCACAGGGAAGCTGGAGGGGCCTGTGGGACCTGTGTTTCAGTTTAGTCTGGGGTGCTGTCTTTTTTTTCCCCGGTACCAGGGATCAAAATTGAGTCCTTGCCCTGGGAGGGGGCAGAACCACTTAGCTAAGTCCCCAGCCCTTTTTTTTTTTTGAGACAGGGTCTTGCTCTGTAATTCAGGCTGGCCTCGAACTCACTATGTAGTCCAGGTTGGCCTCAAACTTGTAGCTGTCCTCCTGCCTCAGCCTCCCGAGTGCTGGGATTTCAGGTGTGTTCCACCACACCCAGCTAGTGATTCTTTTTTTTTTTGAAGGGTTGTTGATTATTGTCTGGTTTAAACCAGTTTGTGCTTTACTTTCTTTGAGCTCTTCTATAGTTGATTTGAAGATAACATATACCAAATACATTTTGTGTTTCTTCTTGCATTGCTATCTGGAGTGCATACATGTGTATGAACCTGTGCTCTTTTTTTCTTCTTGGAACTATAAGGTTCTTGCAAATGAACAGCTTTGTCTTTTGTTTGCAGTCCGGATGCTTCTGGAACCTATTAGTATTGTAAACATGACAGGAGTATGGGCTGGCCTGCAGGTACCACGTACATAGTACCTACGGCTTTCTTCCCAGACATCCAGAGGGAGTTTGTGATGTATCTGTCAGACTGAGTGGATGTAGGGAAGGGAATCAGGCTTGGCTCCATACTGTGACAGAGATGCGGGATTGATGAAAGCTGATAAGGCTTTAGACGTGCCTCAGAGTCTCCTAGTATTGTGCTGATGCCTCAAATGTTCATCCTTCATGTTCCTTTTCTCTTGGGGAAGTTGAACTGTTTCTCTAGGGTTTGGGTTTTTTGTTTTTTTTTTTTTGCCAACAGAACCTGCAGCAAATTGCCAGCAACAGTCATTTGTTGGTTGCCAGCTCTGAAACTCATGCACATAGCATGTAAAGGCAACTGTGAGACACTTATGTCGTCCGTTTCCCGTGTAATCGTTATGCACACCAAGACACCATGTTCACCGTGTTGCTGAAGAGCTGGATTTCTTCATAGTCTATTACTTCACCAAAGAGAAAGGTAAATAGCTTCTTTATGGAAGGGGGATCTTTTAGGTTCACAGAATGCATTAATAAATTGCTTTTATTTGTATACACAGAATGTACAATATTAGTCTGAAGAGTTAGCATTTCTGTGCAGCCAGTATTTCCTTTTCTTTCCAATGGAGTCAGACCTATTAAAATTCATTGTTCATATACCCTTGGGTTTATAGTACAATAATAAATAAAGCATTTGAGAATTGCTTCTCAAGGCAGTCACTCTGCTCTACAACTTATTTGTTAATTTACGAGGAAAAAATGTCGTCACTAAAAAGGGAAAACGAACATCAGGTTTCAGAACCTGTTTCACCTTACTTGTGGAGCCTGTTGACAGAGATGCCAAACCCTCTCTTTACTGTGCTTCTTAGAATAAAATTCCCTTGAAGCCAGAGGCCGTGTCTTGTCTGCAGTGGAAATTGAAGAAGAGATACCTTCCAGACGATTTAGAACTCCTTGTAAATTAGAAAGGCACTGGTAATCCATTTCCAGGTGTAAACCTGACTTAGCCTAACTCTCCTTGCCTCAGGCTTTGTTGGACTCCTTGTCTTTGTTGCAAAGGGCAGTGCTGCTGGGTTCTGTTATCACTCTTAGTAAGGGTGAATTGGTTTCACTCAGCCTGATCCTAGGGATGGGTTTTCTGCCTGCCATCCAGATTTCCTACCTCTTCACCCAGGAAGAAGAGGTGTGAACAGGCTCATTGTCCTGCATTTTCTGGAGTCAATTTCCCTCATTTTATTTCTCTCTTGAGATTCTTTTTTTTATTTTATATTTTTTGGTATTGGGGATCAAACTCAGGACCTTATGCTTGCGAGGCAGGCGGTGGAACCACTAAGCAAAATCTCTTGAGATTCTGACTTACAAAGAAACCTTTTTTTTTTTTTTTCTTTTGTGAGGCTTTTTAGTGCAAGGTGACTGTTGTTTAGTATAATCTAGAGTACTTAATAGCTGAATACACCTGGTTTTCCCTGAAGCTGATCAAAGTGAAAATAGGAAGAGTAGAGAGACAGTGGTTTGAGGGAGTGGGAGTGAAGAGATAGATGATTGGAGGTAAAGAATTACGTAGGAGTATGGTACTTTTAAGTTCAGTTTTAGCTTCAAAATCAAGAACAATGGCTGTTTACTTGGTGACGGTAGCTTCATAAGTAAAAGCATCTTGTTCAGAGCAAATTGAAGTTGTTCACTAGCGATGTTCTACAAAATGACATGGAAGCTTACCAGATATGTTTCTCCCCTGTGTTGGATTCTATAATATGTTTCATAACAACAGAAACAATGTTGGAGTGTGAGGTGATAACTATAGTACAAATATAATATTGTTTATTAAATGCTTTAGGCATTTTAAGTTGAAAGTGTGTTAGCACATTGTTGGGAGGTGTGGAATTTGGAAAGGCTAGGTAGATTGGCCCAGGTTACTGGGAGAGGGGTAGATACCCTGAAGTTGGCTGTAGCCAGGCAGTGTGGTTTAGCCTGTTTTCTCACTGTCTGTGAGCTGCGCTCATCCAGGATAAAGGACTGCAAGAAGTGGAAATTTTTTTTTTTTTTTAATTCAACAAAACATGGGGTATGTTGAAAAACTACAGTAAATGTTTCAATTTTGCAAAAAAATATTACTGTAACACACATTGCCTTTAATCACCCTCAGAATACTTCATCTCTCTTCTAACACATCACATCATTCTTGCGACTTCCATTTGTTCTTTTAAATCCCACTTCCCCTGTGTAATAATTCTGTGTATGGTGGTCTTCCCTGCTCCACTGTGAATTCATTGACCATTGTTGAGGCCTTGGCTTTTTAAGCAGTTGCGATAAATGGAGAAAGAAATTAGTGGATACATGAAAAACTGTTGACAGTGGGTTTACTCGGATCGAGTAGTGTGTACATTAGTTGAAAGTGATGATAGGCCTGATAGGCATGAACATGCCACGATTGCGGCAGAGACTGATGAGATGCTTAACAAAATCTTAGCATTTTGACATTGGGGGCTGGATAATTCTTCATTGCTGGGAGACTGTCCTGTGCACTGTGGTTTGTTTAGTAGCATCCTTGGACTCTGCCCATTAGGTGCCAGTTGCTCTGGGTGTGATGTATCAGAGATGTTTCCACACATCGCTGAATATCAGTTGGGAGGTGTAATCCCCACCATTGATAAGCACTGTATTAGACCACTTTCTGCATGTAGGTGAGGCCACATGATTGGTTGTTGCCTATGGGACATATGTGGACATGGGAGGAAGTTCAGAATGGATGCCTTCCACGTTCACTCTCTTTCGAATCTGCTGGGCACTTTGAGGGGCTCAGGGGAGCTCTCGGAGGCCCCAGGGTATGATGGAGCCACACATAGAAGGAATCTGGGTCCCTGAATGACCAGAGGAAAAAACCCCAGCTGCATTGGGGTGCAATGTGAAGAAGAGATAAGTCATTTTTATAGTAGGCCACTGAGATACTGTGGTGCTTGTTTTGGCAGTCAGTCTATCCTCACCTTCCTTAACATTTGAGGTGAAAGGATGTAGCTGAAGCAGCCATGCCAGAGTATTCCATGTATAAGGAAAAATGGAGATTTTGGCCATCCATGGAAGGACAGAGTTGTTTTGTTTGTTCCAGCGTACTTGTGGTGTCAGCCTTATTGCGATAATCCTTGTAATTTCTACATTATCTAAAAGATAATGATAAAATGTGAAGCTGTTATTCCAGCTACTCTAATAATTTCGATATATGAATAGCAAGCAGCTTTAAGATATAAGTACTTTTAGTAAAAAGTAACAAAACATGAAGTGTACTAGCAGTTTTATTTCACTGTATATACATGTGTGTGTCTGTAGCATAAGATGAGGTTGAGATATTTGTGACAAGGTAGATTTAATGCATTTTAAACAGCTTTTGGGAAAAAAAATTGACAGTGGTTGATGACCTGTAGTCACAGAAGTTCCCCACATCATTATTAAACAAATCACTGTATAATATGACAGTCTCTGAAATGGACTCTTACATGCACAGCCCAGCTGAATGCTGTGGATTAGTGTCCTTTAAAAAGCCCAAAACCATCAGACTAAGTGCAGTGCACATTTCTTTGGCAGCCGTTGTATTTGTGGTTGTGTCGTCTGTACAGGATCACTGACCAGAATGTGCAAGTCACATGGTTTTCTTTGGTACCCACCTGGATGATAGCAGCAAAGTTGTTTGTGGAGGTAATGGCTATTTGTGGATGAGCTCTTCAGATGGCGGAAAGGTTTGAGTTTGGCACATTGGTCTTATGTGTCTGTTCTGTTTGCACAGGATTTAGTCCATTGTGCAAAAGGGCCACCACCTCAGTGAATTTCACCTTCCCTGTCTGTCAGCCAGAATCTCTGCCAGGTAACAAGAATATTTCTGGCCTGATAATAAGATGGTAAAAGCTCTTTTTCTAGTAAAAACTGTGAGGCATCTTAACTGCCAAATGTCTGATTCTAGTAGGTTTTTTTTCCTCCCACATAAAACATTTTCACAATAGTAAAAATAAGAGTAGCTAACACTTTTGGCACCAATTGTGTGTGAGGCTGTAAGTGTTTTGCATACAGTATGTACATAATCCTCATACCAACCCTGCAGGGAAAGGCAGAGGTACTATTAATATCTGTGTCATACAGGAGAGGCAGAATAGCTCTGCCAAAGTCATAAATGAGGCACAGAGGGGTGTAATGACTCTTTCAAGGTCACAAAACAAAGAAAAGCCAGGCCTGGAATTAGAAGCCAACCAGGATGGCTCCACAGCCAATGATAGAGACCTTTGCAGAATACCACTTTGACCTTTTTTTTTTCCTGTTAAAGAGATTTACCTTCTTGAGATTTCTGGCATATATTTCTCACCTCAACTAAAATCTGTATGTGATAATTAAAAAGATATTGGTTTTATTGCTTTATTTTTATATGGGTTCCACATAATGTCCCAACTTAGCTGTCAGCTGATGCTCTTGTACTGTCCATAATTCTTGGCATAACATTTAATGTCAGAAGGTGCAAGTTAGCATGTTGATTTATTTTCCATTCCAAGAGGTTACCTTGCAGGAGTAAGAGCTTGCACACAGAGGATGTAAACACCAGATGGTAAAGGATGAAATGGTATTGGAGTTTAGTGGGGGCAAAGATTACTTCCTGATAGAGGATTTAGAATGACATTATGGAAAAGTAGCCTCTGACAACACTTGTGAAGAATAGATAGTAAATTAAGTGGGACATAAATGCAGATAGGAATGGAATTTCCAGTCCAGTAGCCAACTCAGCAATAGTGTGGTAGTAGGAGAGAGGATAGGTCTTTTTTTTTTTCAACGACAAATAATACTGTGGAGTGTGGGAGTGGGAATAGCATGAGAGAGGATGGCGAAAATAGTTGGAAAGGGGGCCTTGGATTTGTTTGGCAGAAAACCATTGATGGTGTGTAGCTTGAAGGAAGATGTGGCTGAGTGAAGCTGTTTTTGGAAGCTTAATCCAGCAGTGATCAATATGGATTGGAGCAGGAGGGGAGACCACAAGCGTCCAGAGAAGGTGCAGCAAAGACCTGAGGGCAAGGTAGGGTGGCAAGAGTGAGAAGGGCAAAGGAATGCATGAGACATTCAGAGACACAGTTAGTAGAATTTTAGAGAGGGGAAGGTAAATAAATTTTTAAGTTTGATGCATTGAGTGAATAATGTTAACAAATACAAAATTGTGGGACTAAGATTAATTTGGGAGAAATCAAGAGTTCACTTTGGAAATAGCATTAAGTAGAGAGGTCAGAGCTGCACCTCAGAGAGTCCATGCCCAGGTGGCTGTTTGGAATCTGAGGCTGAACCTCAGTTGCCAACAGGGAGAGAATCTCTCAAGAGAACTGGGTGTATAAGGACATAGGTCAAAAGGCTGGTAGTAGGGAAAAAAATTGTTTTTCAGAACAGAGGATACATGTATTGAAAATTAACAGTGGTGTGTTACTTAAAGTTATAGCATAGTTTAATTTATATTTATTATTC